CTGTCGTTCTTCCTCCATCATCATCTTCATTCTCTCTTTCTCTTCTTCATGTTTCTTCATCAGTTCTTCTCTTTCTATCTTCAGTTTCTCCATCAGGATCTTCATCTTGTCTTCTTCTTCATGTTTAGACTGAAGATCTTCTTTCTCTCTTTTCTTTCTCTCTCGTACTTCTTTCAGTCTCTGATTAAATTCATCATGAACTCTCTGTTCTTTCTCTCTTCTTTTCTCATCCTCTTCTTCTCTTCTCGTCTCTTCCTCTAGTTTCTGTTTCTCCCATTCCTCTCGTTCTCTCTTCATCTCCTTGCACATCTTTTCCTCACTCTCTTCTTTCTCTTTTATTAGTATTTTATATTGTTCTTCTCTCTCCATAAACTCTTCTTCTCTTCTCTTTCTCTCTTCATCATTTCTCTCTTTCTCTTCTTTGTGTTTCTTCATCAGTTCTTCGTTTTCTTTAATTTCTCCTTTATGTTGTTCTTCTCTCTCATTAAATTCATCTTCTCTTTTCTTTCTCTCATTCTCTATTCTGTTCACCATTCTTTCCATTTCTGTTTCGTATTTGGTCTGTAGATTTTCTTTTTCTCTCTTCATATTCTCCTTTTCTTGCCTCATTTCATTTTTTAACATCTCTTGTTCTATTTTCATTTCCTCTCGTATCTGCTGCTCCTTTTCTTTCATTTCTGTTTTATATTGTTCTTCTCTTTCTCTGATTAATTCTTCTCTCCTCTTTCTCTCTTTGTCCTGATTCTGTTGTTCTTCCTCCATCATCATCTTCATTCTCTCTTTCTCGTCTTCACGTTTCTTCATCAGTTCTTCTTTCTCTTTCATTGGTGTTTTGTACTGTTCTTCTTTTTCATTAAATTCTTCTCTTTTCTTTCTCTCTTCACCATTTCTCTCTTTCTCTTCTTCATGTTGCTTCATCAGTTCTTCTTTTTTGTTCATTCCTCTTTTATATTGTTCTTCTCTCTCATTAAATTCATCTTCTCTTTTCTTTCGCTCATTCTCTATTCTGTTCATCAGTCTGTCTGTTTCTGTTTTATATTGTTCTTCTCTCTCTCTGAATTCTTCTTCTTTTCTCTTTCTCTCTGTGTCCTGATTCAGTTGTTCTTCCTCCATCATCATCTTTATTCTCTCTTTCTCTACTTCATGTTTTTTCATCAGTTCTTCTCTTTCTCTCTTCAGTTTCTCCATCAGGATCTTCATCTTGTTTTCTTCTGCTTCATATTTAGATTGAAGATCTTCTCTTTCTCTCTCCATTCTCTGTCTTTCTCTCTTAATCTCCTCACGCATCTTTTCCTCACCCTCTTCTTTCTCTTTCATAAGTGTTTTATATCGTTCTTCTCTCTCATTAAACTCTTCTTCTCTTCTCTTTCTCTCTTTGTCATGATTCTCTCTTTCATTCTCTATTCTGTTCATCAGTCTGTCTATTTCCTTTTGATATTTTTCCTTTTCTTTCTTCACTTTCTCTTTTTCTTGCTTCATTTCCTCTATTTCATGTCTAAATGTCTCTCGTTCTCGTCTCATCTCATCTCGTATCTCTCTCTCTTGCTCTTGTATTTGCGTTTTATATTTTTCTACTCTTTCTATATATTCTTCTCTTTTCTTCCTCTCATTCTCTGTTCTGTTCATCAGTCTTTCTGTTTCTGTGTTGTACTTGATCTGAAGTTTTTGTTTTTCTGTTCTTACTTTCTCTTTTTCTTGCTTCAGTTGCTCAGTTTCATTTTTAAATGTCTCTCGTTCTCGTCTCATCTCTTCTTCATGTTTCTTCATTTTCTCTTCTGTTTCTCTGACTCTGCCCATCAGGATTTTCTTCTGTTGTTCTTGTCTTTCTCTTTCCATCTCTCTGAACATCTTACATGAGTAGAAACTCCCTCCTTTTGCGTTCACCATGGCGTCTATCTTCTCCAGTAGATCAGACGCCTGTGTTCGGTCTCCAGTCTGATTATTATTGAACACATGGTATCTGTTTCCACACGCTTCAATCAGCTTCATTAAAGCAGATCCAGGTTTTCCCAAACACTGTTCAATGGTTTGGTCCTTCAGATCGTCTCCTCTAGTGAAGAGCACCACTGTGTACATTAAAGATTTCTCACCAAACGTCTCTTGGATGATCTTCACTGATGTTTCCTCTTCTTTAGTGAATCGTCCCAGTGGAATCAGCAGGAGAAACACATGCGGTCCAGGCAGGATCATGGAGATGCATTGGCTGATTTTTCTCTGGATCTCTTCATTAGTAAGTTCAGTATCAAACAGTCCTGGAGTGTCGATCACA